TCTGGGGATGCTGGTCCCCAGGGGTGGGAGCGCGCAGGGATGCAGCCACCAAGGGAATGGGGACTGGCTCCAGGGACACGGGCTATTAGGGATGCAGCAGTCGGGATGTGCAGGGTTCTGGCTCCAGGGATGCAGGAGCGCACGCATTCAGGGAGCAGGGAGTACTGACTCCGGGGATTCCGGCCCCTTGTGCTGCAGCCCTCGGGTTGCAGGGGTTGCTTGTGTCCAAGAATAAATGTATCTGGCATGCAGGGGACAGGAGCTCCCAGCGAGGCAATGCCCAAGGTGCAGGCAGCCAGGGAGTGCCTCAGCGAGGATGTGAGGGTGTGCTGCGGCACCAGGGATGGGGGAGACTGTTCCCAGCTTGGAGCGTCCCTTTACAACTCTTTAGTGCTAGTGAAGAAACTACCCTGAGTCCTCCTGCTTGCCTTCTTCCTCCCCAACCCATTTCCTGTTCCCCTAAGCCAATGCTGTCAGTTCTGGGGGCCCCAGGGGATCCAGAGTTCCAGTCCTTCCTCCTCCATCGCCCAGGTTCCGGGTGAGTGGCTGAGCTGAGCTGCCCGCGGGCAGATCCCGGGTCCAAGCAGATCCCAGGTCCAGGCAGAGCCCTGGTAGTGCTGCCCTGCCCTGTCCTGCCCTGTGGCCGTGCCACGTGGAGCCGTGTGGGACACGTGTCACCACCACAGGGCACAAGGACAGCCCTGCCTTGTTTTGCAGATTTTTGCCATCCAGTGCCCACGCATCCTCCCCTGGCACTACTCAGGCTCTGGAAGTGGAAGCAGAGATGTCCTGCACAGCCCCTCAGGTGTTCTTGTGCTTCCTCTGAGCAGCTTCATCCCTGGCAGTGCTAACATGCACCTTGTTTTCCATCCTGGCACATTTTCTGCCTCCTGCTTGCTCCTGCTGCTTCCCCGTGTCCCCAGCCTGGTGTGCTGCTGCAGGGCCCTGGCAGTGTTGTGTGCTGCAGGGTGAAAGGAATGAGTGTTTTTCCCACTCTGCTCCTTCCCAGACCCCCAGGCTCAGGCAGGGCTCTGCTCCTGGCAGACAGCACGTCCCTCTGGCAGCACTCGCAGGCTTCACGGCTCTGGGGTCTCCCCTTCCTTCTCCCCTGCCTCTGCCTCCTGAGCTCTCTGCTGCCTCTGGACCAGCCCCTGGTCTCCAGCTCCAGCACTCATCTCTCCCCTGCAGATCAGCCTGGCTGTCCTGCAGGCTCCAAGAGAGCTGGAGAGGGTGTGGAGTGACAGGACAAGGACTGGCTTGAAACTGAGAATAGGTTTAGATAGAATATTGAAAATAAATTCTTCCCTGGGAGTGGTGAGGCCCTGGCACAGGCTGACCAGAGACCTGTGGCTGCTCCATCCCTGGAATTGTTCAAGGCCAGGTTAGGTGGGGATTGGAACAACCTGAGGTGGTGGAAGGTGTCCCTGCCTGTAGCATGGGGTTGGAACAAGATAACATTTAAAGGTCCTTTCTAACCCAAACCAATGGATCCATGATTCTGTGATTGCTCAGCACAGGGAAGGCCCCTCCAGGAGCACTGCCCCAGCTCCTGCATGAACATTCCAGGAAATCCCAGCCCTGGCAGAACACAAGCAGAGTTTTGGCAACAGCTGAGGTGAGGACACTGGCAGTGTCTGCCCCAGGAGGACAGCTCAGGAAAAGGGAGAAGGAACCACTGGAGCCAGGAGGCTGCCCACAGACTGGGCTCCTGCCAGGGTGTCGCTGGCAGAGCTGTGCCAAGTGCATCCCAGGGCTTTTCCCAGCCTTCTGGGCTGGGCAGGGATGCTGTGCCTGACCTGGAGAGGGCAGGGATGCTGTGCCCAGTTTGGGCAGGGATGCTGTACCAAATTTGGGCTGGGCAGGGATGCTGTGCCTGATCTGGAATGCGCAGGGATGCTGTGCCGGGGCTGGGCTGGGCAGGGATGCTGTGCCTGGGCTGGGCTGGGATGCTGTGCCTGACCTGGGCTGGGCAAGGGTGCTATGCCAAATTTGGGCAGGGATGCTGTGCCTGACCTGGAGAGGGCAGGGATGCAGTGCAAATCTGGGCAGGGCAGGGATGCTGTGTTGCCTCACCAGCCTCCAATGCAGCTTGCAAGGAATCAAGGGGTCCCTGCTGCTCCATCCCTGACCTCGAGGGTCCCTCAGTCCTGTGACTGCCGTGACACGGCCCTGCTGTGCCCCTGCCTTGCCCCAGGGAGGGTGAGGCTGTTGTGGCCGAGGCTGCTGGGCCCAGACAAAGCTCCATCCGCAGCACATCGCCTGAGGCCAGAGATTGGCTCTGGCTTTACGTCACCGAGGAGGAACGGCAGCATGAAGGGCTTTTTTTTTTCCCCTTCATTTTAATTCTCTTGCAATCTCCGTCCAAAAATAACCCAATCTCCCTCCCCCAGGAATGCTCTGCATCAGAGCCTTGGCTCCCTCGCCCCCTGTACATTAGCCTGGCAGCTGCTGAGCAAAGCCATTATCGATGTCACAGCGTAACCTTGGTTAAAAGCACGCCCGGGGAGGGCAGCGCTGTTGCATTGTTGTGGGTGCGGAGGGGCAGGGACAGATGGGAGCCCCCGGGTTTCCTCCGCCGGGCATTCCCCGGGGTATGGGCAGAGCATCCCCGTCCCTCCCCGCTGCCAGGGACTCTTGGGGCTGCTGGCATCAGGGAATGCTGCTCCAGCTGGGGTGGCGCTGCTCCTTGGCGAGGTGACAGTCACCGTGCTGCCACCACGCTCTCTCAGCAGGCAGGGTCGTGCTCAGGCTCCCCTGGGCAGGAGCTTACCCTGCCCACGCCTGATGCTGGAGGAAAACCTTGCAGGGGCTCGTTTCTTCCCCCACCGGGCAGCTCAGCCCCGAGAGACTCTCAGGGAGCAGGGGGGTACTTTTCCCACCCAGCCCTGGGATTCTCCCAAGCTGTGCCTGCCTGCTTCGCGTGGGATGCAGCCCTGTGCTCACCAGGGGTAGGTGGGGCAGCTGCCAGGTGACAGCCACAGGTTGTTGGGCGGCCAAGGGGTGAGCAGGGCACAGGCAGAATGAGTCCCCACAGACCCCCTGCCCAATGGGGTTGGGCTACCAGGGCTCCCCAAAACTTTCTGCATGCCCTTTGTGACACTTCCAAGGGTCTCCAGTGGAGTCCCGGTGCCTCGGGGCAGCACCCAGCCCCCCACCCACTCTGTGAGACGTCACTGGGCTGGCCTGGCATGGCAAGGGGCAGTGCTGTGGGGTGACCCAGAGAGGGGAGATGTCCCCAGGGCTGTGCCGGTCACCTCATGTCCCAGCAGCGCTCAGATGCCTCCATCCCGCGGGAGCAGGGGGCACTGTGGGGCTGCACCAGGGCAGGACCTGGCACTGAGAGCCAAGCCAGTGGCTTTGGGCCACCATCCCACAGCAGGGCATGCAGTGTACCCAGCCCTCACCCTGCCCTGCCTGCGGCCAGAGCATCTGCAAGCTGATTTCAGACATTTAAAAATACAGAACAATTGTTATCAAGGTTATACTGAATGCTAGAGCTTCCCACGGAACTACTTTATCATGTTCAAAAATATTTAATCCCAGCAATTTTCACATTGTTCTTATAAAAACAGACATGTATGAAGGGAAATGAAATGCTTCGTACATTTTTTTTGGCACAATTTTTTTTCCTCTTTTTTTTTTTTTTTTCCTTTTTAACCATTACAAATTACAAACACACATTCGTTGTTTTGAAAGGAAAACCCCTAAAGCCCAGCTGTACACTGCAGAGCTGCACCAACCAAACCACCCCGAGCTCCCCCGGCCTCCCGCACTCGCCATTGTTCTGCAAGGACAAAAGAAGGACACCAGCAGCCAAGGACGTGGTGGTGGCTTCACTGCCCTCCCCAGGGGCTGGCTGGGACACAGCAGGGACAGTGGTGGCCCTTTGGGGTCCGTGTCCCCACTGCTGTGTGGCTCTGGCAGGGGTGATGCAGTGAAGGAGTGCGGGGGATGGCGAGGGTGGGACTGAGGGCGATTTCTGCCTGTTCTGCTCCCCCCAGCACTCCTGTGCTGAAGCCTCCACACATCCCAGCTGCCTCTCCTTCCCAACAGCTCCACCTTCATCCCCTGCACAGCACAGCCCGCCAGGGCCCCTCCTGCAGCAGGAGCCAGGGAGCCCAGCCCATCCTGCTTACCCTGAGATGCTGCCAGGGGCACAGAGCCACCCTCGGCTGGGTCGGGGTGATCCTGGCAGGGTGATGGGAAGTGCTGCTGGAGAGGATCAGCGGGCACAGAGCAGAGAGGCACCAGCTGGGAGCTCTGCTCGCTCCAAGGTGGCTTCCAGGGCTCCCAGTGGCAGGGTGGCACTCTCCATAGGTTGGTGCTTCTCCACAGAGCATCACCCCAGATCCTGGCTGGCTGCCTCTCCACATCCAAAGTGAAGTGGGAAAAGAAAGCAGCACGTACCTCGTGTGTGCCAGGCTGTCCCTGAGCCCTGCAGTGAGGACAGTCCCTGGGCCAGTGGCCCCTGAGCCCCCCAGGAGCTGCACGTGGGACCCTGGGGGGGACCCTGCGCTACCTCAGCTCCCAGCAATCAACCGCAGGCTCTTGCAATGGAGACATCTTTAATTTTTAACAACATCAGAACCGCAAAAAAATCCCCCTGCGTCTGTGTGGGCAGTGCCGAGGGACGCTCCGCCATGGAAGGGGACATTCTGCCATGGAAGGGGACACAGCAGTGCCCCCGTGCCCCCCTGGCCTCACCAGGACCCAGCTCTGCCCCGGCTCCAGCTGCTGCCTGTGCCCAGGGCTGGGCAGCACACCTATCGCAGTTTAAATAGAATAAATACAGTGAAGAAAACAGTAAAATCTTCAATAGAGAGGCAAAAGGAAAGACAACAGCAGGTCCGGGGGTCCAACCAAACTCCACGTGGTCTCTGGATTAGTTACTGAGGAAGTTCTATGAGAGCACATTAAGTTCGCTGCTGGAGACTCTCTTACCACTGTCCTTATATCGAAACCTCGTATTCTCGTGTTTCCTGCAAGCAAGGAAAAGCCAGTTGAGGGCAGCAGCTGCATTTCAGGATCGTCTCCCCATTCCCAGGCAGACAGAGAGATCCTGAGTGTTGTTTTGCTCCCAGTGATGCCGTGGCAGCCAGGACCCCACAGCCCCCTGTGCCTCCCATCCCATTGTTCCCACAGAGCCTGGCTGGACTCATCCATGGCTGCCCAGCCACTCAAACCTCTCAAGAATATCCCTAGGGAGGACAGGCAAGGCAGGACTCACCCCTGTCTCATAAATCGGGTTGTCAAACTCCGTTTCTACCGTGATCTGGCTGTAGGGGTGGGAGTACATGAGGGGCAGGCGGAGGCTGGAGTAGTACCGACACCTGCAGGGGGGAGAGGCGGGGTCACTGGGGATTCCAGAACCGCATCCCTCCATCCCAGCTCCTCCCAGCGCCCCGGGCAGTGTGGCTGGGAGGGCGATGCTGGCCCTGCTCTGTGTGCCAGCCCCTGCAGCCCCACCTGGTGAGATAGATGTACGCTCCTCCCAGCAGCAGGGAGATGATCAGCACCGGGATGAAGATGGCCAGGGCCATGTTTCCCCCCTCCAGCGACGTCTCTGCAGCAGCTTCTGCTACTGAAAGGACAAGATCTATTGTGGCGGCATTTGCAGGCACCGGGTGATCCCCTCTCTGCCTCTCCCCCTCCTCCCAGGCTCCACCAGGATGCTGTGCCTCCAGGAATCCACACCACTCACCTTCCAGAGCGTGTTCAAAGCTGTCTTGGTTCACTGGAAGAGAGATGGAGAGTTACTGGTCTGTAGCTGGGTTTGGCAGGGTGCTGGCAGCTGTTGCCTGCTGGGAAACGCAAACCTGGGATCTCCTGCCCGGTTTGGTCCCAAACCATGCTGTGAACTCTCAGTGATGTAAGCATGGGGCCAGGACTGAGCAGAGCCCAGACCCAGAGAAGCTCCAGCTCAGCTGAGTTCAGTTCCCAGCTGGGGCTGCAGCCAGATCATGGTCCCTGGGCTGTCCCAGGTTGGGGACAGAGGTGTTGGCTGTCCCCTTGCCCCCCTCCCTTTCCCTGTTACCTTTGCAGATGGGCAGGGGCCCGCTCCAGTGGGATGGCTGGCCCAGGATGCATTTGATGGTCACCTCCCCCATCAGCTCAAAGCCCTCATAGCACATGAAGGTCAGGGACTCTCCTGGCAGGTAGAGGCGCTTGTAAAGAATTTGGTACCCATTTTCTGGCAGCCCTGGGTTATCACAGGCCAGTGACTCCTCAGCTGAAAGAGAATGAAACGCATCCAGGGTGAGCCCGAGGGAGAGGAGGAGCCTGGGGGCAGTGAGGAAGCACACAAGCCCTCACTTTCCTCTGCTTCCAGAGGAAAGGATCTGCACCACCCCCTGGCTGCAGGAAAGTGCTACCCACAGCCCCCAGAGGGGAGCTGGGCTGCAGGGGAGCAGGAGAGCACCCAGACTTACAGACACAGTGTGGGAGCCGTGAGGTCCAGATGGGGGTGCCGGTCTCACGGCTATAGCAGGTGAGCAGGGAGCTGCCCTCCAGCACGAAGCCAGGATTGCAGGTGTACTGGATGGTGGTGCCCACCAGCAGCACCGGGTCCGAGATGAGGCGAGTGGAGTGCTCCACCTCCCCTGGGTCCGTGCAGTACATGACTGGGGAGAGAGCAGGGCTGAGGGGAGCCCCTTGGAGTGGGACCTCTCAGAGCTGGGGGCACTTTGGACCTGGGGGCACCTCGGGGCTGGGGCCCCTCAGAGCTGGGAGCCCCTCGGAGCTGGGACCAGCACTGTCACAGGATGTGGGACAGGGACAGCAGCACCTTCCTGTGGGCACTTACTCTTTTCACAGAAGGGGGGGTCGCTGCTCCAGCTGAGGTCCCACTGGCAGGTGAGGGTGTCACTGCCCACGATGTCATAGCCCGGGTCACACTGGTAGGTGATCTTGGCCCCTCTCACCAGCTCTGTGTGTGACGTGGTCTTCCAGCCGTTCTGGATCTCGGGCAGGTCCGAGCAGGAGTCGTTGCGGGACACCTCTGCAGCCAAGAGGGATTCTGGCTGAGCAGGACCCCTGGCACAGCCCTCCCCAGAGCCACCCCAGCTGGACACACAGCTTTTCCCAAGATCCTGTCCCTCCCCACAGCCCCACAAACGGCACAGCTGGACTGCAGGCAGCATCCCCTGGGCACAGGGAAGGGCAGCTGTGGGGGACAGGGGCTCTTTGCAGCCTCCCCAGCCCTGATCCTACAGGCAGAGAGAGGGCTGGGCTGGTGAAAATGGGGTCAGGAAAACCTGGAAGCACCAGGCTCAACTCCAGCTGTGGGTGCAGGAGAGATGCCAGCACCATGGTCACAGCACAGCTGGTTTGCTCACCAAGGAGGATTTGTTCCCTGCTTCCCCCAGGCTGGTTTGCTCGGTGAAGGGTTGTGCCCTGCCCTCCCCAGCCCCATGTGCTGCAGAGCACCGAGGAGGGCCCTGCAGCCTCTGGGTGCTCTACATTGCAGCTCGCTCTGTTTGTCGTAGCCAGGGCTGTCAGCAGTGCAAGGAAAACGTGCCTGGAGGAGCCTGGCATGGGAAGCACGGTGGGGGAGAGGGAGCCATGGGGATGGAATGCCCTCACAATCCTTGTCCTTGCCATGGGCACCCACAGCCCCAGCCTGGCAGGCACAGCTGCCCCAAAGGACAATGGAACAGATGTCTCCAGGAGCTGCTCTGGAGCACAGAGATGGGGACATCCACCTCAGTAGCCCCCCCAGGGACTGGCTTCAGTGACCACCCCTGCCTGTCAGGGTGTCTCTGGGTATCCTGCATCCCTGTACCCAGCAATTTCTTCCCCCCAGGGCTAACAGGGACCAAATCCACCTTGTTGCCAGCCTGAAGGAGGGGACACATTCAGGGACACCCCAGAAGTGACTGACACAGAGGCCTGGGGGTCCTGCAGGAGGTTCAGGGTGGGATGAGAAGGGGGTGCTGGTGCCACAGTGACTCTCCTTGCTTCCAGCCCCTGCACCTGGACATGCTGGGCTGGTTGTGTGCCACATCCTCACACCAGCACCCTGCTCCCCATACCTATGTAGTTCATGATGAATCCTTGTCCCTTCCCAAAGATGAGCCCAGCAGGGTCTGAGTGGAACTGGATGGTGAGGTCGGGGCTGGAGGAGTAGAGCTTCTGGGGGCCGCTGCTGCCCACGTACTGCCCCAGGATGCGGGAGGAGAGCTCATCCCCGTCGTAGATGGTGAGGATGTCGCTGTTGGTGATGTTCAGGCTGGGAGGAGAGTTTGGTTAGATGTCAGAACTCAGCACATCCCTCTGGGTGTCCAGAATTGCTGAGCACGCCGCCGGGGATCTTGGAGACCCTGGCACCCAGCGCAAAACACCTGGGGATTTGATTTTGACTCCTGGAGCAAGCTGGCAGCTTTGTATGAGGACATGAAAGTCACACAGGTTTGAATAGTGTAATAATAGAATTATCACAGGGTGAAAATATAGATTTTAGGATTTTTGGTATGGGGGTTATGGGGACAAGATGGAGGAACTTGGGCGTGTCCAGCCTTTCTTCTTCTTCTTGTTCTCCATTTTCTGCAGTGATGTTGGCACTTTGGGATTGGTTTAGAGTAGAAGTGCTCTGTCTAACATAGGTGATAGGTATTGGGAATTAAGTGTAAATATGTTATACATAGTTTGTAGTATAAAAGGACAACACAGAGTGCCTGTGGCTGCCCTGCTGAGCAGATCTTGGCTGGGCAGAAATAAAATTTTATAGATAAGAATTAATAAACAACCTCAAGACCGAAAAGTGAAGAGTCCAGACTCATTCTTCAGCCGCGCAGGCCGAAGCAGAGACATCCTGCACATCTCAGGGCAGCAATTATCAACAGCAACCCGCGAGTTAGAGAGCAGCGTGTGCCGGGAACCCCAGACAGGACACAGCAAGGGACAGGGACAGCCTGTCCCCCACAGGCGGGGCCCAAGGGACAGCCAGGTCACCTCCCTCCGAGTCACCTCCATCCCTCCGGTTCCCGGGACCCCGCACCCGGAAGCGCCGCTCCATAAGAGCCGCGCTTGTCCCCGCGGCCACCAGAGCGCAGTGGCGGCCCGCAGATGGCGGGGACGGCCGGGGACACCGGGCAGGGATGGCTGCAGCCTCCGTCCACCCCGGGAATGCGGCTGCCCTGGAGCAGAAGGGGATGGGGGGGCTCGCTGCTTTCCCCCTGCTCCAAGGACAATGCAGGGTGCACACGCCAGGGGACACAGCTCTGGTGTTGGGAGGGTTTTCTGGGTGCCCGGGGCTGGCAGAGTGGGTGAACGATCACATCACCCCAAGGTGGGCAGTGGCACCCCTTCCCTGCTGGCTGTCCTGCCCTGTCTGCCCCAGCGAAGCTCCCCAGGGCTGGGAGCTGTCACACGGGAGGGACTGGGACAAGGACAAACCTCCTCCCCTTCCCTGACAGGAGAGCACCAGGATGCTCCCAGCCACACAGGAGATGCCTGAGCTGATCCCTGAACGTTTTATTAGGAATGTTCTTGGAGGGAGCCCAGCTAATCCCCATGGCAAGCTGACATTTGTAGTAAATCTCTGCTTTCTGTCAAACACGATTTTCTCGGTGACATTTATGCCTGATGACTTCAAATCACTTGGCCTGCAGTTCTGCTCAGCCCCAGCACCCACAGAGCTGGGAGAGGTGTGCTGGGAGCTCCCACTTGGGATTTTATGGGGAGCTTTAAAATCTTTATGACTCTAAGCCTCTACTTGAAACACGTCCTCCTCTTGAAAACCCAAAATAGCATCAAAGGAGGCTCCTGCTGCAGCAGCAGCATTACCATGCCAAGAACTCTCAGCCTGGCATTGAATCCCGTTCCCCTCTGACCCCAGCATGTTCAGCTGGGCTAGTGAGTGGCTCTGCTCCCTTAGTGCCTGTATTTCACAATTATCCCAAAGATTGAGCTGTTTCCATCCCATGGATGCCTCCAGGCTCTCCTAACCCTGCATGACCCAGCTCCTGACGTGCTGGGTGTCACTCCAGAAGCACATGGCCACGTGCTGCTGTGGCACTGCTCCCTGTGGAGAATTCCAAGGCAGTTGGAGCAGCAATTCACTGCTGTTATGAAACATGTAATGGTGCTTTGAACTCAGGGAGCACCACTCAGTCCTGCCCAGGGTGCCAAGTGCATCAAAGGGGATTATGGAAGCTCTGAGGGAGAGAACAGGGCATATCCCTGTGAGGGTGGCGAGGCCCTAGCACAGATTGCCTGGATATGCTGTGGCTGCCCTGATAGTGGAGCCCTGGAAAATGTTAAAGATAGACTCTGAAAATGTTGGGCTTTGTGTTTTCCCAGAACACTGCACCTGCATAAGCAGTATGATAAATGATATAATTGTTAGATGTGATGATTGTTTAGCAATTAAATATAATTATTATATAATCATAAGAAGAATCATGAGAATCTATGTTGGAAATTTAAGGGGGGCTATGCTTGGCTGAAGTCTATGTATACAATAGAACAATATAAGTTTAATAATTAACGTGAAAGTTATATAATGATAGAATATAAAAACATGTTCATCTCGAATGTATAGTCGGAGTCAGATTTGGGTGGAAAATACCCCAGATTCCCAGAGCTCTTAATAAAAAGCACCGACATAATAATTTTCGTGATCATGTGTTTCTGAACGCTAACAGCCCCATCACTGGAAGTGTCCAAGGCCAGGCTGGAAGGGGCTTGGAGGAACTTGGGATAGTGGGAGGTGTCCCTGCCCATGGGAGATCAGCTCTAAGGTCCCTCCCACCCAAACTGTTCTGGGATTCTGTGATTCCATGGTGGAGATAAGCAGAGCAGGACAGCGCAGCAAAATGAGAGGAGCGCATCTGGGGCAGAGCCAGACACCAAGCCCCTGAGCTACTCACAGCTGGATGTCCAGGAAGAGCCGCTTCTCCTCGCCCACATGGATCCTCCAGATGCAATCCTCCCCCTCCGTGTAGGGCTCCGGCCAGTTGGGGGAGAGGATCACCCCGGCCACAGCAGTCAGCTCCCCTCCACACGTGGCTGTGGGGGCAAAGGGGTGTCAGGGCTCAGTGGGGACCCAGAGGTGTCACCCCACACCCGGCAGTGTCCAGGGGCAGGGCTGACCTCGGCACAGCGGCTCCGTGTCGTTCCAGTAGGGGTCCCGCATGTTGATGCACTCGATGACAGCGGGGCCCTGCTCCAGGGAGTGCCCGGGGTCGCAGGTGAACTCCACGGTGGTGCCCAGGTTGTAGGTGGGGTCAGAGGTGGTGAAGTTCCCGTTCTGGATGTAGGGCTCGTAGCAGTGGCCCCGCTCAAAGGCTGGAAGAGATCCCTGTTAGCTGTAGGGACACGGAGCTGCTCCCTTCTCGTTGAGCTTCCCCAGGCCCTGCTGGTGTCCCCATGAGAACCTGAGCCCTGCATCCGCTCCTGAAAGGATGGCTTCTTCTAGGGAGTGTTCTACAGGCAATTAGGATTAACAACAATTTACCTATTCTGAGCCACACAGGCCTCAGAAGCAAAATGTAAACAATGATTATCTGCTGCTGTGGAATGCAACAGGTGGGTCTGTGACTGATCGCATGTGGCTTCTAATTAATGGCCAATCACAGTCCAGCTGTCCAGACTGTCTCGGTCAGCCACAAGCCTTTGTTATCATTCCTTTTCTATTCCTAGCTAGCCTTCTGAGGAAATCCTTTCTTCTATTCTTTTAGCATAGTTTAAATATAATATATATAATAAAATAATAAATCAGCCTTCTGATTTATTATATTTATTATAATAGATAATATATAATATTATGTATATAATATATATAAAATATAAAATAATATATATTATATATATTATATATTGTATATAATATAAAATTTATTATATATTATATTATATAATATATAATATATTATATATTATATGTAATATGTTATATATTATATATTATATATTATATGTGATATATATTATATATAATATAGATAAATATATATTAAATATGTTTATTTATTTATTATAATAAATCAGCCTTCTGAAACATGGAGTCAACATTCTCATCTCTTCCCTCATCCTAAAACCCCTGCAAACACCACCACAACCCACAGCTGGAGTCGGGGACACCCCAAAACAACAGATTTGCCTCATCCTGGCTGAGCCAGGCACCACCCCGGGGCCCAGCACGGGGACACAGCACCTTCGAAGCGGATGTTGAAGGCGGTGGCAGCCGCAGGCTCCTCAGCGAGGAAATCGATCCGGATGGAGGAGCCATCGCTGATGACTCCCTCGAAGGGGACGCTGTCGGCGCGCAGCGAGTCGTAGAGCACGGCCGAGCGGTTGGTGTCCCCGCTGTACACCACCATCCTGCGGGGACACGGGGCATGGGACATAGGACAGCGCCCCTCAGTCCCACCCAGGCACGAGGGGAGGGAGCTGGAGCTGCTGGGATAAACTGGGGGCTTCCAGGTTTTGGTGTATTTTGGGGTTTTCTTTCCGAAACAGACTGTCCAAATGAGAACCTGACCATGGAGAGGCTGGAGTGTGTCCAGGGATGAGAATGGAGCTGGAGCACCAGGAAAGCGGCTCAGCCTGGAGAAAAGGAGGCTCAGGGAGGACCTTGCGGCTCTGCACAGCTCCCTGACAGGAGGGGACACCCTGAAGGGGTCAGGCTCTGCTCCCTGGGAACAGGGATAGGATGAGAGGAAATGGCTTGTGTCAGAGAAGGTGTAGACTGGATATCAAGGATATCAGGGAAAATTTCTTTCCCAAAAGGGCTGATAAGCATTGAAACAGGCAGCCAGGGGCAGTGGTGGAGTTCCCATCCCTGGTGGGATTTAACAGCTGTGTGTAAGTATGGAGACATAGTTTAGTGGTGGACTTGGCAGTGTTGGGGGACAGTTGAACTCAATGATCTCAGAGGGCTTTCCCAACCCAAATAACTCCATTTTTCTATGTTTAGTGCCCAGCAACAGGCCCTCTCCTCACCCTGTGCAGAAGAAGCCCCCCTGGGATCTCTCTGCAGTTCCAGGACTGTGGGGAAACAGCTCCTGGAGCCTCACCTGTCCTTCTCAGTCAGCAGGAGCTTCTCAAAGTGCAGGTGCAGCTTCTGTCCCGGGGGGGCCCCGATGGCCCAGACACAGTACATGCTGCCAGACTGGTTCCCGCTGTAGCTGGGGGACAGCACGCGGCCGATGGTGGCATTGTGCACTGTCCCTCCACAGGGAGCTGCAACACAGAGCACAGCCCTGCTGGCATGTGGCATTTGTGCTCCCAGGGCACAAACCTCTTGCCTGGCTCTGCTTTGCTCTGTCTGCACATATTTATACTCACACACAGACACAAAATCTTAATTTCCTTTCACTTTGCTGCCCAACGAGGGGACAGATTCTGCTGTCACTGCCTGACCACCTGAGGCACTGCTCTCACCCCCTCCCTGTCGCCACATTTCTCTTCACAGAGAAAAACAAGGCACAGTTCTTCGCAAGAATGTTTCTGGCTTTCACGTTCTCTGAACCTCAGACAAAGGAAAAACAATTCTTATCTCATTTGCTGCTCCTATGTTGTTCACAAATGGAAAGCATTGTGGAAGATTGTTCACCTGAAGGGAATTGATAATTGGATTCTGGTGTGAGTGTTTTGATCCACTGACCAATTGGATCCAGGTGTGTGTGTTGGGACTGTGGGCTGACAGTCACGAGATGCTGTGCAGTGGAGTGCTTGGCAGATTCAGTTTAGATGTAATGTAATATAGTATATAATAATATACTATAAATAATAAGTAATTAATTAGCCTCCTGATAAGATGGAATCCTGCTCATCATTTCTCCTGGACATCAGGCAAAAATACCACCAATACCTCCCAAGACTGCATTCATCTCATGAGACAAAGACAGGGGCTCATGTTTCCCTCAGTGGGGCCCAGTTTCCCAGCACGGGGCTGGAATGTGCAGGTACCTGAGCAGATGGGCTCGGGGCTGCTCCAGTGTGGCCGGGATGCGTTGATGCAGGTCAGCATGCGGGGGCCCTGCAGCTCGTAGCCCAGGTGGCAGTGGAAGTGAGCGATGCCACCCGAGTGCAGATCCATCACCGTCACATCCCCAAAGTCAGGCCTCCGTGGGAAGTTGCAGCTCAGCATAAACACTGGAACAGGCACACATTGGGAGCTCAGGGCTCAGCTGCTCCCAGCCACCCCGTGGGGACGTGCTGGATGTGCCCACGTGTCACACAGAGCAGCAGCAGAGCACCACCAACCCCCCACTGCTGCCGCTTCCCCACCTGTTACTGCTCCTGCCCAGACCCAGTTTCTATTTTAAAAATAATTTGCTGGAACTCATTTATTTTTTAAAGCTCTTCGAGGTAAAAAATAGACTGGCAGTGTGAGTGTGTGCAGGAGGAGCTGCTCCATGGGGACAGAAACGGGACAAGATGAGTGTGAGAGGCACAGCCAGCGCCAGGCTTGGGGACATCAGGGCACACTGAACCCTCTGCCCAGGGCACAACATCCACGGGCAGGGGGTGAAACAGGAGCGTGGCTGGTTTGTGGGGACACAGCCCACTGGTTTGACCCTGCAGCCAAGCGGGACTGACCCCAAACCCCCTCCATTACCCACCCTGGTAGTGGAGCTGGAAGGTCCCCACCACGTCGTCCTGGAAGGTGCGGAAGTAGACAGAGATGGTGTTGGTGGGGCTGCGGATCACCTGGCCCTCCACCAGGAGGGTCTGGTTGGCCAAGACCACCAGGGCATCGCCATCCACACCACGGATGGACAGCACCTCCCCATCTGACAGGTTCACGCTCTTCACCTGCGGGAACAGAGTGGGGACCCCAGGGTCACATCCCAGCCCATCACACACACCCAGAGCGTCATACCAGCACAGTGCTGCCACAAAACCAGGGCACTCCTCAGGCTTTGGTGCTCACCACCCACCCCGTGCACCAGGAAACCTCCCCAGGATCCCTCACCCCACTGAGGAGTGCTCGGGGAGCCACACAGCAAGTGCATCTAATGAGCAGTTCCAAAAGGCTTTAATTATTATTTGGAAATAGCTGAGCAGTAACCTCACATTTACATTTCACGTCCATTTAGCTTAATAAATGGGCTCATATTTCAGCAGAAAGATGCTCATCAGACCGTTTGTTTCCCTGAGTGTGTGAGGCCTCAGGCTCTATATTTAGCACCAGCCCAGCCGTGATTGGGAGCACTCCCGACGATGTTGTGACTGCAGGGATTTGTGGCTGCTGTCACCACCGTGCCCACCTCCCCCTGGCACATGGGGCTGGGATGTGCCCTGCTCTAAGGGCACTGCATGGAGCCACCCCAAGACTCAGCATCCTGAGCTTGCTCCTGAAGGAAATCCTTGGAAATGCTCCTTCCTCACTGCAAAGCTGGATTAACATCCCCAGGGTGGTTCAGAACATGCCTGGGTTCACCCCAGCCCATGTTTCAGTCCAAGAGGAGCTGATTTTGCCTTATTTTTCCAGCTGGGTCCTGGAAGGGAAAAGCATTTTCTGGAGCACAGGCTATGTGCAACTCTGACCCCCAGCCTGCCCTAGGTCATTTCTTCTTTTCTAGATATTGTTCCCAAAACGTGCCCCCCACCAGCATGGCCAGCACACACTGTGGCTGATGGGATGGCTCAGATCTGATTATTAATAAATGGCATTGATTAAGTGTTATTTGGGTGAATTATTTGGAGTCCAGGGATCCAAGCAGGCTCCATACAATGCCAACAATTTCCCCAGTTCCCACTGAGACAGAGCTTTGCTTCTCCAGCTGGGTCTGGATCCCTGCAAAGATTTTTTCAAGGTGTTTCTAACAGATTTTGTTCTGCTTGAAGCCAAACCTGTTCCCCAGCTGGGTCCTTCCAGAGCTGGTGACACAGAGCCAAATCACTGTGGGAAATTGGGAAGGGGATTCGGGGGAGCAGCTGGAGCAGGCAGAGCCGTGCAGAAGGGAGGAAGCTGGGGATGACTGCTGGGTGCCACAGGGGGAGCAGCTGGAGCAGGCAGGGCTCTGAAGAAGGGAGGAAGCTGGGGATCAGTGCTGGGTGTCACACACACACACACACTCAGTTCCACCTCGGTGGAACCAGGGGAGCAGGGTGTCACAAATGCCGTTCCCTGTGCCAGCACCAGGCTGGCATTCCCAGAGGAGCCTGGAGTGAGCAGGGAGTGCAGACTCTGCCGTGGCCCCGTGCCAGGGAGCGTCAGCCCTGCGAGAGGGACCATATGTGCGAGATCCTGCCAGGGGCTGGGAGCACAGGCTCTGACTTCAATCACTGCCTGCACCCACAGCAGCTCCTCCAGAGCCTTGGGAAGGCAGCAGGGATCTTCCAGTCAGGCTGCCAGCCTCGCTCACCCACTGGGAAAAAAACCTCTTCAGGGAAATTCTATCTCCTGCCAACAAGATTCAAGAATTTTAAAAATAAATGTAATTTCACCAAGGAGAGCTGCCTGCTCCCAGCTCCCAGGGCTGCCGTGGCACAGGCAGGGACACAGCTGTCCCTGGAATGCTGAGAGGGGTGCAGGGAGGGGCAGTGAGCTGAGCAGGGACCCTGAGCTCTCACACAGCTCAGGGCAGCTCCCAGCCTTTCCCAGACCATGCCTGACATCCAGGCTTTGTCCTCCCTTCAGCGAGTGAGGGTCTGGCTCCAAAAAAAGTGGAGTGTCCCTGTGTCCTCCTGCAGGGCTCCCAGTGCCTGCAGGAGCAGTTTTGGAATGTCACAGGCATTCCTGCCACCACCAGGCTGTCCCATTCCTGTCCCAGGGGCTTCTCTCTGCTCCTGCAGAGCCTTTAATGAGATCCCCAGGGTAAGAGGCAGCTACAGGAGCTGGGAATCCAATCCAAACCCCTCTGATGGGACCCCACACCCCACACCCCAGGTTATCCAGTGCCTTCCCTTTGGAATTCACCTCCTGCAGCACAGGGCACTGCCAGCTGCAGATCAGGCCATGCTCCACCAGCCCCGACCTGCTGTTGTGATTTAATTTGTCTGCAATGCTCCAAAGCATCAGCAAAGCAAAATGCAAAGCTTGTGGGGGGGTGGAGAGGCCAATTTTATGCTCCATTAAAACCTCAGCTCGCAACAGAGCGAGGTCAGGAGTGGTGTCACCTGATGGATTATGGACAGAGGCGAATTTACAGCAGAGCAGCCTCTCTTTAGCACCCTGTGGATCTGAGGAGACAGTTGCTGTGTCCAGTTACTTTTCCACTGCCATGGAGAAGTGGCTGAGCTGCTCAGACTCTCCAGGGCTCAGCCTGCACCACTGCTGCTCCCAGGGCAACATTACTACCAGGGCTGGCAGCCACGGTGGCTTTGGGGCCAGCCCCTGCCTGTGCCCACCATGGGGACAGCAGGGACAACCCTGCTGGAGCTCCAGCTCCTTTTAATGCATGCTTTTCATTACACAAAGTGCAGGGATTTAAATTGGATGCAAATGGTGACAGGGGGAAATCACGAGAAGAAAGGATTGCAGGCAGCATGGAGACGCTGGGCTCGTTTCACCTGGACAGGGTTTGGAGTGGGCAGAGGCCCCAGCCCTGCTTGCAGCCTCACCAGGCTGAGGGATGCTCGTTTTGGGGGGAGCTGATGGTGCAATATTCACATCAGCTTGATGAGACCCCCTGCTCTGATGGGTGGGCATTTACTGGGCACCTGCCCCAGCCAGAGAAGGAACCTGGGCTGCCCTCCTGAGCATCCTGCACCCTCAGAGCCACCCAAACCCCTCCCTGACAATGGGAGGTGCAGAGGGCAGAGATCTGGTGCCCCCATCCCACCCAGTTCCTTTTAACAACCTGCTGCCAGCTCCTCTTGGTTAAATTAATTGCGTGACATTTACAGAGTTTGATCATCGCTGACATTCAGGATGTTCCAGCTCCCTCATTGAGTTCATTTATTACAAAGCCTCAGAAAAAAATCTATTTTTTCCCCCTGAAAGGGATATTTTATCAAGTGAAGGTGCCCAGGGCAGAGGTGCCCAAGGCTTGGCATCATTTGCTGCAGTGACCAGTTGTGGCATTCACATTCTCTGGAAAAATCCCTTTCCCCAGGGTTTTTCTCTTGGGAAGCTAAGAAGCCTCAGAGGAAAAGGAAAACAGTTCTTATCTCATTTGCTTCTCCTGTGTTTTGCTGCTTTGGAATTTAGTTGGAAAATGTTTATCTGTGGTGGTGTTCACAGAGAACCCAGGACAAGGGAAGAGATGAGAATCTTGACTCCATGTTTCAGAAGGCTGATTTATTATATTATATTATATTAAATTATATTGATAATGATATTAAATTAATGATATTAAATTATATTAAAATAAAATTGTATATTAAAGCTATACTAAAAGAAAAAGGATTTCACCAGAAGGCTTGAAAGGAATAGAAAGGAATGGAATGATAATAAAATCTTGTGACTGTTCACAGCCTCAACACAGGTGATTATCATTGGTCATCAAGTAAAAACAATGTCGCAAGCTGGGTAAACAACCCTCCAAATCACATTCCAAAGCAGCAAAACATGAGGAAGCTGAAGAATCTCAGCTTCTCAGGAGAAAAGATCCTAACAAAAAGATTTTACATAAAATATATCTGTAACATTTATCCAACAGGTGATTGTTACATTGGCTTTCTGATGAGAATTGTTTTAACTTATTGGCCAACTGGGGCCAAGCTGTGTCGAGACTCTGGAGAGAGTCAGGAGTTTTCATTATTATCTTTTTAGCATTTAGTAAGTATCCTTTCTGTATTCTTTAGTATAGTATAGTATTCTTTAATATAATATAGCAACATAAAATAATAAATTAGCCTTCTGAGAACCAGGATTAAGATTCATCCTTCCTTCCTTCGTCTGGGGGCAATGCAAATACAAAACCAGTGGGTCTGGCTGTGGGGCCAGCCCAGGGCAGGGCTCACCTGGAGCTCGATGCCGTAGCCGGTGTAGACGGTGACGTTGTAGGTGCACTGCAGGTACCCGTGCAGGGGCAGGGGGGGATAATCCGTGGAGTCAATGTAGCCCTCAGGCTCGTGGAAGCTCATGCTGCAGAGCACTGAGAGGACACAAACAGGGTCACATCAAGGGCATTTCACTCCCACACCCCAAAACCCTAACTGTGCCCCATCAGTGATCCCATGGAGTTACAGAATCACAGAGTGGTTTGGGTTGGAAGGGACATTAAAACCCAACCCCTGCCATGGGCAAGGACACCTTCCACTAGACCAGATTGCTACAAGCTCCATCCAACCTGGCCTTGGACATTTCCAGGATTTCAGGGGCAGCCACAGCTTCTCTAGGCAACCTCTGCCAGGGCCTCACTACCCTTATACAGAAGAATTTCTCTCCAAAATCTCATCTAACCCTGTCTCTGGCAGTGGGAAACCATTCCCCCTTTCCTGACACTCTATGCCTTGTCTAAATTCCCTGTCCAGCTCTCTTGAAGCCCTTTAGGAACTGGAAGGAGCTCTAAGCTCTTCCTGAAGCCTTCTCCCAGCACTCCCAGCCACGACAAGTATTCCATCCCTCCAATCATAAAGTGAATGAAGAGCAGAAGATTTTAGGTACCCCCCAAACTTGAGCAGTGGCCTGATTTTGGGAGGGGTTGCCTAAACACAGTTGTGCTTTGCTCCCCGCCAGTGCCACAGCCCCATGTCCATGTTCAGCTCACCTGGGGTGGGCTCTGTGGTGGTGACAGTGGTGGTGACGATGGTGGACGTGGTGGTTTCCTGGCTCTCCTCCAGCACAGAGCCATGCGCATCCCTCTCCGTGCCCTTGGTTTGGATAACACCAGCTGGAGCCACAGTGGAAGCCTCTCCAGCATCCCCTGTGCTGTCAGAGAGGGCTGGGGGCAGGCTGGAAGGGGAGATCTGCAGCGTGGGGTGGCTGGTGGTGGCCTGCTCCGCCCAGGGCAGCTCGGGGGGGCTTTGCTCCGTG